CACCCTCCTTAGCTCCGTGTGACTTCTTCCTCTTCCCAAAGATGAAAATTCAGCTAAAGGGAAGGAGATTTGAGACGATAGAAGAGATTCAGGCAGAATCGCAGATGGTGCTTGACAGGCCGACAAAGAAAGATTTCCAGGGATGCTTCCAGGCTTGGCAGCAGCTCTGGGATCGTTGTGTTCACTCCCAGGGGAACTACTTCGAGGTTGATGGATGAATTTAATACCTGAGATAAGTGTACGGGTTTTTATAGGCGCAGTCTGGAAACTTTCCGATCGCACCTCGTACATAACTTTTGTGCGTGTCGTCCTCCGTAAGTAGAAGCTGCCCTAACAAATTTCCATAAGATTCATTTCTGCGTTATTAATTCTGAATTTGACAGGCCAAGGGACATAATCCGTTATACCTTATGAAGAAACACAAAGCCTGGTACACACTACTGGAATATTTTGACTGCTCATCCTTACCGGATGATTGTTCCTGGGTCTCCCTTCACGATGCAGGCGGCAAGAATAAGAAACACAAACTGCAAGAGTAAGCAAGATATTAGCTGCTTATGCATATGGGAACGGTGTTCTTTGCCAATATTCAACATTTAATCTCTGTTAACATCATTTGGGAATACGTATTGTTTTGCAAAGGAACGTACACTTTATGGGTAACCAAAATTGTCATAATTTTTTGTAAGTTAATAATGAATTACTGCTTATTAGTATCACATTTTCATTTTAATTAAAAGTATACTTACAGTAGGAAATTACCCGTCAACAGTGACGAAAGAATCTTAAATAGTGGACACATAATCAGAGCTATTATCCCATAAAGCCCAGAATCTCTTAACAGGAAATGATGACCAAGCGACCAACTGTCCAAGCTGCCAGCCATCATTTGCTTATTATATAGACAGGTACTTCTTAACATGCCGAAGCTGGTTTGAAATTTGTGAAAATGCTTTTAATTTCAGGCTTATGTGCTGGACATGCAAACAGATGTGTATTTTCCTCCTCAATTTCCCTTGGTCTTTTTTCAATACGTAGTTAATGCATGCAGAACATGCTTCATTGAATTATGGGCATGAAGTCGCTATGTACCTACTGTAGTAGTCCTACAAACTACAGGTTACGAAAGAATTGAATTCTTAAATATTTATAAATTGTACTGTACTTCTTGCTTCAAGATTGTTATTAGGGGGGCAAGCGGGAGAAGGGTTCTAACGAAATCATGTTTAAATGACGAACTGGCTTAGTTGTTGATTGACTGCCTGGGGAAACTGAATAGTCGATTGTTGTTATTCAGTTTTAAAGACATTTTACAGTTGCTTCAGAACCTCACGATACATAACTGTCATCTAAGCAGTCACTTATTTCAGCTAATCCTCAGGACTTCTGATCTAGTTCAGAACCTTTAGAACCATACAGTGACTTTTATTTTCCTCCAATTTATAATTTCGTTTTCCTGAAGACCTCTTTCGAAACGATATTCCAACCAGCATTTTCATTATTTTGTTTGTTCTTCTATTTACTGCTTCAGGTATTTACTGCAGTTTAATTTTCGCTTTAGCCCAGATGTCAAATTCAGTTAAAATTGAACGATTATTAAAAGCTGGGCTTCATGTCGTTCAAGTTTCTATTGGCGGTGAAAAATATCAGCAGCTCCATATTTTATTGTGCCTTACATAGTAAACATAACACTATATACTTACTGTACGGTGTAAAAGCTATCAAGAGTGCCTTATACTATTCTTAACAGGCTAATTCCTACAGTGAACTCAACTAGTAAAGACGTAGTTCAATTTCCAACTTAACAATTAGTTTCTCTGGCAGTTGGGATTAGTTCTACGACTCAGTTACTTATTCGTTAACATAAGAATGCAAGGGACTGCTTTAACGATAATGCTGCCCGTTGAATTGGTCGATTAATATTAAAATATTAAAAAACTTGGACGAGCTTGTGCCCGTAATAAAATTTATTAATTTATTTTGAAATTTTAAATTAATTGTACACAGGAACTTTCAGTAGGCCAAATAGTATGTCACTGGTATAATACTACATTCCTTAACTAGAATTTAAAGTGCATATGTCGTGAAGTGTGAACAAAAAATACAAACCAGAATTCCCTTGTTCATCGTGGCGATGACCACTTCTGACAACTATAATGTGACAACACATACTTCAAGCTTATATTTATATACAACAATCCTATACTTTCACTGTTGATTTGTGATAAACCGATACGTCACATTGCTTTCTGTCTGAATTTTGTATAGTCGGAAGCCTTTGTTTCTGTTTCTGATAGGAATATAATATTTATTTCGAAACCTAAATGCGTGCTTTATACACCTTACCCTCAACACGAACATCGGAGTCACGTCCCATAATAGGATACAGTTAATTTCATCCGTTCGTGTCCACGTTACAAACATATGAATGGAAGCCTCCATTGCCAACAGTAGTGGCACGTGACTTCAGTGCCGGTCCCTGACCAGGAAGAAATCAAGTTATAATAAATATTCGATAATTTTCTTTCCGTCCTAATGGCCCGCATACGTACATACAAACTTATGCCTTGAAGTCAAAATAAGAGAGTATGTCACTATCTGTGCTGCGTTGCACAGATATACATGTACACAGTAAGCTATGGGTATACAAAACGTTATCACTTGTGGCCCAAAACCCTTGAACAGTATTACCATGGCAAAGTTATAATAACGTAAATTCATGAATACTATCCCGTAAGGCCGAAAATCCCTTAACAACTAACGATCACCAACCAGTCAAGCTACCAATTCTTGCTTATTATGTAGATAATTATAACTGTGGGAGTAATATTAATTAGGCGTCGCGAGGATGATAATATTTAAGCTTATTTTAAAGAATTGAGTTGTTTCAAGTGTCAAAAGCAAGAACACTAAAACTAGACTTTACAACATTTAAATTTGCATGTACAGAATGTCCCAAAAATATATATACACATAATACGGAATATTTAACCTTGTGTGTATACATCTTTGTGGGACATCTGATTCATGTACCATTCGTATTGTCTCGCTAATTAATTTTCACAGCTGATGAACAAAACCCTCGCCTTCTCCGAAGTTACTTATTTTCTGCGTTGTTTACTATATCAACGTAGTGAAAAAAATGTTTTATACAAATAGTGTTGCCGTTCATGAGTGACAGGAACATGGCGCGATGACCTTGGGTTACCAACATTTCGGAGAATCTGACTGCCTCCGTTTTTCCTTGAAGCTGGAGTCGATGAGGTGTCCTCAGCCAATACAAATCAGTGCCGAAGTGATTAGTGTAGCTGTTTCATATTCAGGCGATGCCGGTTCATATCTCAGTCTCGAAATCGTTTGTACAGACACGTTTTTGTGGTCTTCCCCAGTTCCTCCAGGATAAGGCTGTTATAATGTCGTATCTATTAATCTATTAATATCGATATCTATTAATTAACCTGACATTCGTTAAATAAATCGCTAATAAATACGAACGTTCTTTATCTGTTAAATTAACAGGTTAAACCAAGATGTTAAACAATAGAAATCTGCCTGGTTAAGATGGATATATTTCTTACTCACTTTGACAATCCTAAAATTATCTTTTTTCGAAGATATGCATAATATGAACGCATATATCCCTGGTCTTGCCTATTAGCAAGTTTCAACACGAAAACCGCAGGACGAATTTTTATTTAATTTGGTATGCACACATAATACAAAAACCATTTACTTTTACTCACTATTTGTTGGTCTATATTTACTTCACTACACGCGTTTCAGCTTTTATACAGCCAACATTATTGGTTCAGTGTTTATATTTTGGGTAGAAACATTATAAATACACTGTGGCCATTGCGTCACAATAAACGATATTGTTAAGATAGACTGTGACAATTGCTCAGAACTTTAAAATTCCTTTCAAGTGCACATTACATAACATCTTTATGCATGTTACATCATGTCCCTGTGTTTCACAACTTCTTTGTATGCCTTTGTTAAACAGATTTGTGCGCATTGAACCACTGATGAGGGCTCTGTAGATGAAGTGAGCCTTGTAATAACTGTACACACATATGCACGTTGCAAGGAATGTTAAGACTGGTGTAGGCATTACGCTATTCGAGGAAAACTGAGTTTCATACATTTTAAAAAAGAAGCATGGCGGACACACAAACTTGTGAGATAGCAGCAACACTGGCGTCATTTAATATAGGATCTTGGGATCATGTAAATGAGGACTGCGTGTTTTCTGTTGAGTTTGCTTTTTGGATTGCAAAACGACAACATTCGTGTTTAATTTGGCAACATTTATTAAACACTAAGAATGGTTTTATTTAAAACAAAATACTTCAAGAAACATTACAACAAAAAAGTAAAATATCTGTGAGTAGTCATTGTAGTGACAAACAGCAGTCTCATTGCAACAACGTGCATTTGCACAAACACGTGCATTTAATATAATAATGATGATGATTATGACACTTTGAGAAAGAAAGTCAGTGATTAGATTTTGTGGCGCACTGAATTCTATTCTATTAATTAGTTTTTTCTGCTAGCGGATGTAGTACATTATTACTATAGGGTATAATTTTATGGTGTATTAAGCTGAGTTGGGAAGTGAAAATACGCACTTTTCGACAAATCAAAGCCCAGCGCATTGGTCCGAGCAATTTGTGGTTGTGTTTGTGCAACACTAAACCAACTGTATGCGGACTGATTAGTGTAGTTAAGTGGTATTGTGTTTACTGATCATTACAGTCTTCTGTATAAGTTCATTCTCTTTCAAAAGTTAGTATTTACAGTTTAAGAAAGTGAGATTAACAGTGCAATATGTACTTAGTTTAAACATCACAATTAAAATGTGTATTAGCATTTATGACAGTGTTGTTTTATGCTGGTCATTGGTAAATGCTAATATTAATTTAGCATCATATGGATTTTTATATTTCAGATTTTTTCGAAATTCGTCGTTGATAAAGTGGAACGCCGTCAGCTTTACCCTGTCCTGGAAGCTGTCACCATCGACGTGTATCATGATTTAAACACAAGGTTCACTAGATAATAGACCAGGAATATTAAAAAATTCCGCTGCACTTATGAATATTCCCAAATACGTGTCAGAACATTAATAAATCGTAGTCATCAACATTAATGTGATTTTCCTAGAGCGCTGCACAAATACAGTGTCGAATCTGAAGAGCGTAAGTCAGCTTTATGATAAAATTCGTACATTTGCTGATATTTAATAAATGTATCAATTTAATTATCTTACCCGGATGGGATTGGTAAGAAACATTTTTACAGCTAAGGGGCTTCATGCATATGCCGAGGAAAATAACGTGCTTTATTTTTCCCAGCAAGGCTACAGAAAAAGCGAATATAATTTATATTTATTGGAGTTTAGTGCAATAAATACTTTTTCTGTAGCAATATGACTATAAAAAATCTTCGAAATTTAGTGGAGGGGCGTTGTAAACTTGTGCTTCCTGCTTATACAAAAAGCTGTGTGATTCTCTGTCGTCTTCCGTGAGAGGAAAACTGCCATACTCTATCCTGTAATTTCAGGCCGTAGCAGGCAAAATGAAACACATAGGTAAAACACAGAATGAATAAAAATTATAATCGGAAGTACCGATCTATCTGACTTTGTATCGAAAACAATTTTTTAATAACGTAAAATAGGCGATTATCAAGGTGACTTGTAAAATGAATTATGTCAATGTGACAGAGCGTCCACTGATCAATACATTCATCGTGAGGTGAATATACCTGCTCGAGGTTCTGTGGCACAACAGGCGATCTCATGTCCACACTTCTGTAACACTCAGGCAGGACGACACATAAACACGTCAGTCAAATGTTTCGATAAATATTATTTAAGTCTCATGTCATTTGGGCGATTCATGGGTACCCGTGATGCTCGTATCCTCCGAAGTCACCTCCTCCGAAGTCGTCGAAGCCGTGGTGATCGTGATGACCATGATCTTCGTAGTGATGATCGGGCTCGATTTCGTGATGAATAATTTTTTTCTGGTGGTGTACTTCGTTGATTATATGTGGAATGTGCACTCGGATATGCACACTGAAATGGAACACAAAGATATTTTACTCGGAACTTGTAAAGACAGCGTAGGCCTGCCAGGAAGTGTATCTGATTCACTGCATCAATAGCAAGAAAACTAATTAAACACTTTACAAAAATTTTACATCATTCCTTAGCATACATTTTATCCATTGTTCGTTATTAATGCGAGGCTTTTCAGCTATATTAGTCGAATAAAATCTAATTGTACGATGATTTTTAAAGATGAATTGATGATGTGGAAGGAAGAGGTTGTGGCCTAGTTTCTAGTACTGTCTGAGGTTTTGCCTGGAGGGACTAAAGAAAACCACGAAAACAGTCTGATTAGTCGGCTTTCGTTTTTCCTACTTTTGTGGCCCCGTAATTTTTTTATCAACTTGAAAAATCATCGACACAAAACTAATAGCACGGGCACTTGTGCGTGAAAGTCCTTTGCAGTCGGCCAACATTGCCTCAAGTGTCGGTATAGCACAAATACAAAAGAAGGTCAAGTTCCGTAAGTATCTTATTCATTGAGGCAGTGCGGTACTCAAAAACACAACCGATGCAGGTATTAGGACACTCTCTTTTTAACAGTTTCTCTAGGCTTGTGAGATTATCTATAAATGCTGTAAACATTATTTTGTTTTAATAAAGACCCTTAGTTTATTGAAGAATTACTCTTCATTTTAAATACAGAGATTTTTATCTGTTATAATTGAGAATTAAATATAAATTACTAAACATCTATATATTTAGTTGAGATATTTTAACTACGTTCTTGACAGCGAGTTGATCCATCAGTGGCTCTAATTACATAGGACAACGCAACACAGAAAAAAACAGACATAACATCTATGTCTCGAGATGGATTCGAAACCGTATCCCCAGTGTTCAAGCAATACAAAGGAGGTCATCCACCGCGCTGCCACTGTCATGAAATTTATTTTAGACTTAAGAGATTTCAGTAAGAATAAGACACGTGATTTACATTGAAAATCCGAAGGACGATTGTTTTTAAAAAAAAATAATGTGGATGAATTGCGAAATAAATATATTCGTAATTACAGATGAAAACATAAAAATCGTAAAGAAGGGCATAGATGCTTTATCAGATGTTATGTAGTAAGAAGGTTTATCTAGAAGTAAGCGCAGAGAAAACATTCTATGTCATTACTCGTAACGATAAAGCAAGATGAATTGTTAAAACAAAGACAGCTATTAAATCCTTCATACATGTGGAAAATTTAAAATATTTTGAAACAATAATAACAGATTATTCAATTCAATTCATAATGAAATCAAGAGCTGATAAAATCCGGGGAACCTTATTTACAATTCTGTAAATTTCTGCAATGCATACGAGTTTATCGGCAGAATTTGAAATACGATGTACTCGTAAGTCGGACGCTGCAGTGTGTACGCGAAGCTCAAGGTTATATCCAAACTTGTAACAATTTAAATGTAAACTTTCTTTTGAAAGTAGGAGAAAGAATAAAAGACTGGAGCGTTAAATCTCCGTGTCTGCGGTAAACGCCTGATCAGCTGTTTCCGGTCGTGAACATTTCCACTCCAGTCTTTTACTTGCCAGTTTAGGCACGGCGATTCTGTGATTGTGATCTGTTGTTGTCCCTTCGCGCTGCGTTTTTCGGTGGAGAAGAGAACCGTTTGTGACACTTTGTGGTTTATCACGTAGCTCATGGAAATTTATGTAGCTCTCTGTTATTATGAAGATTAGGAAAATTAAAAGTGATGTGTATCAAAGTAGAGTACTGATATTAATAAGACTGAGCATAAATATATGTTTACACTTCACTAAAGACCTAATTTCATAAAATGTACTGGCTGTTTTGCATGGAGAATTGTAGTTTTCTGTCCAGACACCGTCGTACATAGAAGTATACAAGGTAAAACTTAAATTCCATTCATTCTATGCCAATCTTAAAATAAATTCGAATTCTAACTTTATCGTTCGATAAGTTCATAGTAATTAATTTTACACCATTGCCAGACATTATGCAGTTTTCGGCTTATCTGTATCATGTTCAGAAATTTCATTCTTTTATTTTCATAAAGTACTCAAAAATTAAACTCAAGAAGATGATAGTCACGCAGCTAATCAACACATTTCCCTAATTTCTTTCATTTCGACCGTATCTATCCTCCACCATGTTAGAAAGTTTAACAACCTTAAAATCTTAAAAATCACAGGTTTTCGGAGGACGGATATTCCTTCGTTTATCCCTCTTTTTAATCTGAAAATCCATCGCTTAAACCGTAATTTCTAAGTCATCCTCTTTTGGACTCGGTTTGATGTTAGCTAACTGCCACTTCCACAGGAGCCTATTACTGGCATCTGTCTTCTGCCAGATGAATTTATTTAACGCCCTTGAATCCTATTGTATTATCCATTATGCTTCATACTCCAGTCTAGGCGTAGGTCTCTTCCGTTGTGGTTCTCCGACTGAGAATCAGCATTAATTTATCATTGTTACACGAATCCTACCGGCATTTGCCATCTCATAAATTTGGCGTACATGACGTGTCATCTTCTTTAGGAGATTCTGATATTTTGAATAGTTGTCTCTCGCCAGTTTCCCGCCCCGTTCCACATAGCCGTCCTCACGGTCTAGCCACTAACCTCGATATAAGGTAGAGAGTCACGAAGTAAAACAAAGACATCATTTTCCCCACAGCTACTTGAAAACAGGTATTGCCTGTTTTACGGAACAGACGAATGCAGTTTTGATCGAAACAGCAAGCTGAAGACCGTTCTTTCTTTTCGCTTTGTATACAATTAAGCATAATTTGTATTCTGCCCTGCTAGATTCAGTTTAACCACTGTGAAACTATATAATCAGCTGCCTTAAATTTTCAATATCTGTACATTTTGCTCACATAGTGTAAAAATAGAAATATTTCTGTTATCGAGAAAATATCCTCAGGTGAGACATTATTTTCCTAAAAATATTTTTAAAACCTGCATATGTCATCTGCCTAGCTGAAGAAGTATGCCTTAGCTCACTGTTCACACTGAAGTTACAAAAATCTTTTAATTTACCTGATAGGCATATTATTAATATCAAAAGGATTCATAATCAATGATGACGATGACAGTAATTATATCACATTAAAGGGATATTGTAAATAACTCGATGAACCTGTGTGTCCTATGAAAGGTGGGGAATTCTTTTCCTAGCTAAGCGACTGTTAACTTATCAAGTACTTCATTCCATGAAGTTATATTAGTTCAGTTAAATTTAATTCTTAACAAAATAATAAAACCACCATAGATGTTACATTACAAAGGTCAACTGGTTAATGCTGCTGAGAAAAGAAATTTCTGTTTATTTGATAACCATACGAAATGCATATTTAGCTTGAGTGTTTTAAGCTTTTTTCTTTTATGCGTATAGTTAGTGTTTGCCTCCAATATGCTCTTTGTTGCAAAAACTCCAATAAAGAAACTGAATTAAATAATTATTTTGAAATGTTTATAATGATAATAATAATACACATTTAATTGTTATAAATAGACATGCATAGGTCTACTTTATTCTCTTTTCCTTCAAGATACTTTGTCAATTATTATTATCATAATTCCTGATGTTATTAATACGGTTTATTTGATCGGTAAGCAGCCAAACAGCTTGTCTCAGTTCATTAATATAATATTACATCTCGGAAAATGAAAGCTCTGGCTTAGTTCTCCTGTTAGTTTCTTAATAATCGTAACCTTTCACCTGTGTCTCTACACTCATTTGAAGTTCTCTCACTTTGAATTTGCAGCGGAATTTTATTCTAAATGCCGTCATCTAACTCTGGTACATGAGTACATTTAACAAACGTGGTTAATTTCGATGGCATTACTAGTCCTTCGTTTCATCTGTACATAATTGTGTTGGCAAACATAACCATTAGAGGTCTTGTGCACAAATATTCAACTAAAATAATTTGAGTATATTTAATAACCAAGAATATATTTGTCGTCATGTACTATTCTGACTGTTGTTTTCGTAAAGCGAACTCTCATTTCTCTCTTCTAATAGCTGTCAGGAGTTTGGAGAAACCTAAATGCGATTCGTATTCGTGATTTCGTTCTGAGAGCGTACTTACTGTTCGTGACTTCCGCCAAACGATGCTTCGCTGATCATCACGGTTGTTATAAGAATTACAAATATAAGCTGAAACAAAGATCATATTTACAGATAGATAAAGCTTGCTTCCAAAACACTGTTTAGTCTTATGGTCGTGATGATAGTATGAAATCTCATAGAGACGTGTAAGTGATGTCTGTTTACAGTTGGAGTATAGTTATGCAGATTGAGAAACCGCGGGTAATTACGCAGAAACATTTTACAAAATTCAGCTTACACAATAATCATTTGAAACAACATTATTATGCATGTTTGCCACTGTAGTTTTATTGCGTGACTTTGCGTGACTTGCAGAATAGCCTGCACATAATGAGATTAATATACCTGATCGTATTGTGTACACGATGTCATTATATATTAATATAACCAGAGTTGTTGAATTTTCTTATTGTGTACTGAAATATAGACAACTTTCATGGAAGTAGTGCAGTATCGAAGTGTAAGAATTGTTTTTGATTTTATTACACTTTCATCTCATTCAGCCAAATAGTCAAGTACACGAGTTAAAGCCGCGTTTTTGTGTGATAAAGACGGCCTTGTTGCTGGGCTGCCATATAATGGTTAAGAAATGTAGTACAGCGCATAAACTCCAAATAAAATTGTAATAGATCGTTTAACTGCCTTGTTTATGGAAATTCTGTAGTGTTTTCCGTGACAATTCCTGTACCATCCGTGTCTGGTCTTCATATGTGTGTTTTAGTGACCATATTCATGCATTTACATCAGTAATACGCGCCTGTCTCTGTATTATTTTGTGTTCCATTTCTCTTTATATATTTATGATCATATTTTTTTATTGAATTGATATTAAGAATTTTTTATATTATTCCCCGTCAGTAGCCGCAACTATTGCGGTAATATTTGCGTGAATAAATTTCCTATAGAACATATTAAATTGAAAACTATTACAAATGATTTAACAGAGTCTTGATATTATTTTATTCAGATCATAATTATCTTTATAAGCAAGTCTACTGTAGATCGTAGAATTGGTACAAAAACCAACCTTTACACATAGGTAACGAAGGTATTTTTTTACTCTTATGCTCAGTCAAGACTTATACAACCTTGATATTTAATATGCAAATATAGGTAAATAGATAAATAAATAAATAAACATTACTGACCGTGATTCCGGAAGCCATGTTTTCTAGTTGCAGTGTTAGGAACAGATTGTGTTCATAAGTAGACACAGGATCTACACATGCTGCTCTTATATACCGAGAGAAAATATCATGATGCAGGTTTCAGGTTCTACTTTGTCCATTTTGGTGAAGAGGAGAAGGGGAAATGCGGGACACTTGTACTCATCACATTAATCTAATCTTGGCCATGGACTTTTCACTCTCATTGATGACAAGAGATAGATGTAAGCTTTTAGTACAGACGTTGAAGGGAGATGGACGGAAGAGAAGATATTGTTGATGCTTAGAGATCCTCCCAAAGCTGTTAACCTCCCTTCTCTTTTGATGTAATTGTTTCCATGCTTGGTCGTTTCACACTCCACTTACTTTCTTAATAACTTATAATTCACTCAAGTAAACAGGTATAAATCTTTCACTACGTTCATGGAATGTGTTTCCGTTCTCAAAGCAGAGTAAAGGAGCAAGTCTTGCATTTCAAGAGAACAGGAAAGAAAGATCATGTAGTTTGTGTGTGAATCACTTGATATTCTCCCTCCAGTGATACTGTAAGATATGGCTCAGTAATTTTAAACAGTACTACCACCTCAGAGCACATGGTTTGTATTAGACTTTTCGCTATGCACGCCTTTCTGAGCGGAATTAAAAGTTTTCTTCAAATGACCTTCTTGGGGGGGGGGGGGGCTGCTGCTAACAGTTGATGAACAGTGAGCAGTTTAAAATCACCTCAAGATGTCACTACTTGCCGAAACGTGTTATGATTATTGAATATTGCTATATTACTCGTATATGCTGTATGGCAGTGTGGTAACTAAAGGTTATGAAAATTAGCACTGCTCTAAAAATTAAATTTAAGAGATAAATTTAGCTCCTCTATTTCTTCGATTGAAGTCGAGGTCTCGCCGTTAATGGTTTGTTTATTGCATCCGATATTTACCACATACACAAAGTTCCCATTGAGTGAAAGGGAATACACGTGGAATAATTGCACTGGATCGAGATGGCTTCAAATCCAAGCTTTCTGTACCGGAGACTTGCTCCTAGACTATCAGGCTGCCCCAGGAGAATCACACATTTGTCCCAATTGTAGTTTTAATATCTTTGCTCCAAATCGTCTCGTGTTTCCTTGTAAAATTGGAGGCGGAGAAACGTGATAAATGAAAGTGTCGTAACTAGTTATGTGCGAGGCACGTTAAATGCAAACCTGTTTTGCGTCTGGCCCACATCTCAGCTTAGATCATGGTCAGCGAACCTTGACCATGACTGCGATGTAAACAATTTAGACGACAAGAAGGTAGTATGTAAGAATAATGTAAAAACTCCAAGATTTATGAACACAGGTCTCTACAGAATTTCTCAACGCTACATAGTCTGAGCTACTAAAAAGCGTCGTTAAATAAACCACAAATTAAATAAATAATACAGTTTAAGTTAGCAAATCTATGAAGTATTCCATGCGAGATATTATCTGCCTCTTCCCTCAAGGTTAACTCCATATGCGGATTAAAATGTAGCAGATCATAGCTGTGAATTCTAACGTGCCAGATAAACTACTGATATTCTTCATACCTCAGATAATGGAGATGAAACAGCAGTGAAGTAAATTTGAAGGAAACCTACGACAGAAAATTGTACGA